AAAATAATACAAAAATACTTTTGGTCTTATCACCGAATAATAAAAATATTTTAATGACAATTTTTTTCAGTTTGGATACAGTTTTTACGTGATCAAAGTGTGTGGGGGGCTCCTTTAAATGTGATAGTGTAAATGGATGCAGACAAGGAAGTTAAGAGGACAATACAAAAACAAACGTTGTTAAAATAAAGAACCTGGAAATTGTGGAAAAACATGATCGCCTACGTCCTGAGGGGACACAACATATCACAGAAGAAGGAGTGAAGTATAGATTTTTACAAACAAAATCTCCTTTCTGAGTGCAACGTATTCATGCCAAAATTAATTTGCCCAAAAGAACCAATAAAAAAGCGATAGAGTAAACAATGCACCTAGAAACAATAATTTATTTTCAGTGTTTTTATTATTATTATTATTATTATTATTATTATTATTATTATTATTACTATAGATTAAGCACTACGGATCCCGAATATACAAAAAGAATATTAAATTTTATGAAATTTAATAGTGGATTACATTTTCAATCTTTTTATTTGTACCCTCTTACTTCTATGAATTATGACCTGCATTAGCGTTTATGATTGTTATCGTAATATTTATGACCATTGAAATATTTTGTTAATGTTGTCCAGTCCCCAGTTATGTGTTAAATATCAGGATTTATATCTGGAAAAATATTTTTTATTATAAAAATTTGTTAATCAAGTATTCACTCGCTAATTTTTTATTTTAAATCCAAACTATATTCCAGCTATTAATAATACGCAAAGGGTTGCCAAACTTCAAAAACAAAGTCAATTACTCAAATAAATATTAGATCAATTAGCCTCAAAATTTTAACGATTGAGCAGGGTAATTTCTGTGGGGTTTTGTATTGCCGTAGCCCTCGCGAGGAGCATATTCGATCATTAAATTAAGAATTAAGGCTCATCAGAAAGTTCAAATAGGCTTCAACCAACAAAGCTCAATAAAAACACTGGTGACTCAAGAAAATTTGTCGAATGTTTTGCATGCTTGGGAAGGGAGACAAATTCTACCGAAAAGGATGTGAAAATTCCCATAGATAAAGCCTGAGCCGCCTTGAATTAAATGAATGTAATCTGGAAATCTGATCTACCAAACAACCTAAATTAGAGATTCTTTCGAGTCACTGTAAAGACGGTGTTAATGTATAATATCACTGTCTGGACATTAACTAAAACCCTACAATCTAAGCTTGAATCTCTGAGCTTTAATTGAAAAGTAAATGATTAAATTTACTATTTCCAGTAAGCAAAATATTCTGGTGTATTTTAAATGAAATCTATTTAGATTGGAATCTCAACTTTTTGACTGTTTAAAAAAAAACATCTTAAAAGCGGCCATTTTCTTAATTTAAAAAAATTTGTAAACAAAACAACACTGTAAAGACGGTGTTAATATATAGTATCACTGTCTGGACATTAACTAAAACCCTACAATCTAAGCTTGATTCAGTCTACACTCGGATGCTGAGAGCTACAGTTGACACATCCTGGAGACACCATCCAACTAAACAACATTTTGTTTTTATTCATCCCTGAGATTTTTCAAATCTTACGCGAACGCAGAATGAGCTTTGCAGGACGCTGCTGGTGCGCAAAACTTAACCTACCAAGTGATCTACAATTCTGGTCACCCAACCATGGGGCTAGACGAGTTGGTCGCCCAGCAACCATCAACATTGACCAGATCTCTAATGACAAAGAATGCCTCGCTAGTGACATTCGACCTTAATGCAGGACCGTGATGGCTAACGTGATAGACTCATGAATATCCGAGCTAACACGGCCGAATAAAAAATTCCTCGTAACAATTATTATGGGAAACGCATCGCCGGATGTTAGCGCGTGTTAAGCACGCACCTCGAATCAAGGAAAGGCGTCTGTGTGGGTTGAACACTTTAAAGCAGGATGAACATGTGCAACGAACGGACGCTGATCTGGGCGCGAATCAGCATCGAACAGAGTAAAGCGTATCCGGGAGGGTGGATGACTTCATAAGGGAAAGACGAATCATTTTAGCACAAGCTGCAATAATCGCAAGCATCAGCTATGCATCAGCACGTAGGGCCTTAACACTTGGAAAAAAAAATTTCGCTTGAAGATGGAACAGAGCTTATTTAACTCAATTTAATTCAAATAATTATATTGAAGTTTTCGGCTCTTGTTTTGAAACATGAGACCTCTTATGTCGCGAGTTGGAATCATATTTTTAAATAAATAATTATATATATATATATATATATATATATATATATATATATAGATAGATAGATAGATAGATAGATAGATAGATAGATAGATAGATATGAATATAATCAGAGATTAAGGCCTCCAAATTAACCCAGCTATAGGTTAGATAAGAGCAGACTGGAGAAGTACAACTCTGAATTCAATATCAGTTTGCTTTGAGACTAGAAACTCCATCCATTGATAAATCGCCTTGCAGAAACACAGCTGGAATGTACGGAACAAGATAGATAGATATATAGATTGATAGAGAGAAAGAGAAAGTTAAATACGTTGAGAGATAAATTTTAAGATAGATAGATAAACAGAGATAGAGATAAATAGAGAATGAGAGAGAAGAGAGAGAGAGAGAGAGAGAGAGAAATTTATCTCTTGGCACGATTTCAATTAATTTTAGCATTTACTTCTGCAACATTTTTAGTGTTGGCGTTCACCGAAGGAGCAGAGTAATGGTGAAAAACGTGATGTAAAACTATAAATATATGAATGAAAACATTTGTTTTGAACAGTAATAATCAAAATTATTTCTAAAAATGTCTTCATTGTTGTTTGCCAAATACATATATAAATTATTGGCCCAAATAGATACCCACCCTCGCATGTATTCTCTTTACATATTGTGACTACTATTTTTATTTTCTCCATAAAAAAGTCCTCCCCCCCCCAAAAAAAAGAGCAGAGAATTCTGTTTCATTGGGTTATGTGCACATCACTCACAAAAGATTTACCGCCCTTTCCGTTATATTAATCATCAAACTAAGTGAAAGTATTTTGCCTTAGAAAATTTAGCTTTGACCTATTAAGCTTCTTTCTTTTTATATATTTGTGATTGTAGATCTCGTGTTTTCTTTTTTCTTACACATCACTACACACACACACTCACACACATATACATACATATATATATATATATATATATATATATATATATATATATATATATATATATATATTTACATATATATAACTCTAAAAAGTGAACATTGAAGTCAACATTCAGAGGCGACAGGCTATTTCATGCTAGACCCAATCGTCAGGCAGTGATTGCGTCTAGGATTAAAAAGCCTGTCACCTCTGAGTGTTGACTTCAATGTTCACTTTTATCTTCATATTTACATACGCTCTAGCTCTGATATTGAGGACTTTATACCAGAGAGCACACTTTAAAACTATATTTTGCATATATCTATATATATATATATATATATATATATATATATATATATATATATATATATCGCACCTTATGTACAGGTGTGAAAAACAGCAATGCCCTATAAAATATCGATTGCTTCATCACTGTGAAAACAAGATATATTTAACAAAAGTTAAGCACCTGAAGATTTTACTCTGCCTGAAACTCCGAATTGTGCTACAGGTGAGAAAATATATATATATATATATATATATATATAAAACTAAAAAAAAATATAGGTGGCAACTGCCCTGAGGAGTATATATATATATATATATATATATATATATATATATATATATATATATATATATATATATATACGGTCTCTTGATGTTGAGATGGAATTCATCAAGGAAGACACTGTAGATTTGTTTTGTTTTTTTACCCAACTAATTTCAATCTCTTTTAAGTTTACATTCAGGGTTAAATTACAATGACACCTCAATATTTTCTGTTTTTGTTACAGTTCTTTGTTTGTGAGTCGGTAGCACCTATCCGCAAGTGTTCATTGAAGATAGTCCTTACGAACATCTACTGGCTGCATCGAAACGTTTGGGGTGAGAAAAATATCTTACAAATCTAAAAATATTTCCTGGCTTTAAAGAACCTGAAAATTTTTGATAACCCGTAGAAATGTAACGGTCGAACCAATCAACATTGTCTTCTTATTTTGATGGGACTTTCTGTCTGTTTTAAATGCACTCGAATACGACGTAGTGCGAAATGGTTATAATAACAGTTTCATTATAAGGAACCATTTATTAACCGAGAAGCCATTGCCTCTGCCAGTTGAAATTTATAAAATCTTCCTCCTGGAGAATAGTTTTCACAATCTCACTAACAGCTATTGATCTTTCAAGTATTGATAGAGGATTTATCTTCCTAACCATTAGTTTGAAGTAATGTGAAACGGCAATATCTTGATTATCTCATTATTTTTTCTTCCAGGTACATATTATATATATTTCTTGTGAAGGTCCAAATTTTCTGCTTTTTTGGTACAGTTCTTTTTGTGTGTGTCTGTGGCACCAATCCGCAAGGGTCCAATGAGTATAGTCCTCACGAAGGTCCACAGGGTGCATTCGCTCGAAACGTTTGGTCTGAGAAAAGCCTTATACTGCTAAGAGTTAAGATATTTCTAAACGAATTTGGCGCCATTCATGGCAACCATATGAATGTCTGGATATGTCTGGGCTATTTACAAACATTTCTCAATCGCCAATGCCCATGGTTTTAAATGTACTAATGAGATTTAATTAAGTGTTCTTATAGTAAATAGCTTATTAGGTGGCAGACACATTTCTCACTGTTGAGGACGATTTTCCTGGCGATGTCCAAACTAGACTCATGGAAACTTGAGATTAAATTTAGCAGTTCCTCACGTGCTATCGATTTTCGTTTAGCTTCTGAGTCGTAACATGTTTATCGCGTTCTTGCATTGCGTATGTGCCTAAATCTTAGGGCTTCCATAGATACCAAGAGGCAGCAACTCTTTTCAAATCTTCAATGTCGTTCTTGTCCAATTCGAGATGCCCGTTGCAATAAAACACCACATGCAGATATCTATCCGTCGAGGTAGTCATTTTTTTTTAAATAAAAGTTTATAATTTTTTATAAAACTTCGTTTTTTTATTTATTAATATTTACTTGGAAGTGTTTTAACAGTGGACGCAAAGTGCGACAGTTAAATCAGAAGGCACATTGGGATAGCAAAAAGATGCCTTCCAAAAGCTAATCAAAGAATTAAGAAATAGAAAAAATATTGTTAGAAACTTAGGTAAGAATACTGAACTGTTACGTTACATCACTCCTCCTATATATCAACGAATGCTGGACAATCACCTCACACATGAAGAGGAGACTTGAAGTGGTTCAACAGAAGGATGATGAGAATACCATTTAACCAAACATCTGAGTACGATGACGTTTTACAGAACATGGAAGCAAAACGGACAATTATAATAACCATGAGGAAGAAACAGCTGAAATATCTTCGGTAAATAACGAGGAAAGAGAGCTTGGAAAAATTGACACTCACGGGACGGATGCAAGGCAGAAGAAAACAACGAATAGCCTACCAAGCATTGTTGAGTAAATGGATGGCAGATCAGGGTTTGAGAGAGGGAAATTAAAAGACAACATATATTAATAGCTACAAAGTACAGGATATTTTAGACAGCCATGATCACCAACCACCTAAAGGGACACGGCACATGGAAAAAGATAAATAAAAACTATTGAACAAGAGCGACTACGTTTTCTGAAAAGCAAGTTGGACTCCATATAAATCATATTCGAAAGAAATTCATGTCTATATTCGAATAAAATATTACCTCATAACAATATATTAGCGGGTTACAAATTACAGAAAATTATGGAGACCGGTGATCGCCAACGTCTTGAAGGGACACGACATATAGAAGAAGATTTTACTATTTATATTATTCAAACTATTGTCCTCATCAACACTCTTGGTTACTGCGTTTCGGCCTTTCTACGCCCCGGTCTTCTTCAGGTTGTTGTAATGCCAAACTGAACCCTTTATTTCGCTTACTGGAGTAGACTGTTCTAGTTCCACGTGCCATGTTTAACTAACACGTTTATCCACTGCGCAATGTACCCTCAAGGACACATGGCACAGTGGATAAAGTCGTTAGTTAGAGCCAGTCGCAGGAACCAAAGAGTGTGAGTTCAATATCCGGTTAAGGCAGTGGATAAGTTGGAGAGGGGAATTAACAGGAGATAACTGATAACTGACATCCATTATACATGGCACGTGGAAAACATTATTATGGTTCGAGAACCATAAATGAACAGAAATATATTAATAAGCAAAAACATGTGTAAAATAATGTTTCGCTTCGTTTTTTTTTTTTTGTATATTTTTTTTTATATCTGTCGAAGCGAAGCGAGATTTTTTGGGTAATCATAAATAAAATGAATTCTTGCAAATAATATGTAACACGAGGGATGAAGAAAAATTCTCCATCAGATCAAATAACGAATCGTATTTCGACATTTAGTATAATTTCGGCATTCCTAGCAATTGTGACGCCTCGAACACTTTTTATCACCAACTCACCTATATGCATTTCAGCACGTAAACAGAGATAGATAGATGTTAACAGCAGAAATAGATAGATAGGTAGATATGAACAGACATAGATAGATAGATATAAACTTGAGATAGATAGATAGATAGATAGATAGATAGATAGATAGATAGATAGATAGATAGATATAAACAGACAGAGAAATATACATAGATAGATAGATAGATAGATAGATAGATATGAACAGACAGAGATAGATAGATATGAACTTGAGATAGATAGATAAATAGATAGATAGATAGATATAAACAGACAGGCATAGATAGATAGATAGATAGATAGATAGATAGATAGATAGATAGATATGAACTTGAGATATATATATATATATATATATATATATATATATATAGATAGATAGATAGATAGATAGATAGATAAGAACAGAGATAGATAGATAGATAGATAGATAGATAGATAGATAGATAGATAGATAGATAGATAGATATGAACTTGAGATAGATAGATAGATAGATAGATAGATAGATATAAACAGACAGAGATATGAAAAAATTCCTTCTCTTTTCTAAAACACAAAAGGGTATCTTTAATGTATCCTTTACTTCCGTTTTTGATCGCAATCGAAACGGAATGGTCTGTTATTTATCTGAGGAATTCATGGGGCGAACGAACATGCTATAACTAACTTTTTGACCTTTTCACTGGGAAAGAAAGAAAAAACAATTTTATTATATCTTAAATATATAAAAATATGTAATATAAAATATAAATTCACTATATATATATATATATATATATATATATATATATATATATATATGTTCATGAAAACAATAAACAAAAACTAAAAATTCTTGAAGCTATATACATAAAACAGTTGAAACCTAACGTGAACTATGAAATCTCCACAAATATTCTAAAATGCCTATAATTGATAACAGAAGCCATTGGTTTATACCAACGACTTCCCATACTTAATACTTCTCGTTTTCACTCTCGGGTGGTCATGTGTAATGCAATAAGTTGCGATGTGATTTTCGCTTCCGCGTCTCGTATACACGAGTTTGTCGTTGCTTTGAAATTTTTCATGCAACAAAAACGGACTCTCATTATTGTTTTGTCCGTGTATGTTTGATATATTGAAATGTAATTGGCATCTTTGATAATGGCTTATGTAAACCAAGAGCTTAGATAGGATTAAAACGTGTCAATATGACGATTTCCTTTCGTCTTTCAATGATAATATCATTAAGCTTATCAGACAATATGAAAGGAAATTACTTAAAATTAATAGACAAAACTTGTCTATATTTTTAATGAAAAACATATATATATATATATATATATATATATATATATATATATATATATATATATATATATACACTACAGTTCAAAAGTTTGCTGCAACTCCCAGAATTAACTTAGAATGGGCTTGTCAGAATAGTGACCAAATAGGAAACAGAATACTTAAAGTTATTGAAAGAATAATGGAATCGATTATGGAAATTATACTTTGAACAGTAATATATTAATAAGCATTAAAAAAAAAAACCTGATGTAATTTTTTTTACATCTGTGGAAGCGAAGCGAGATTTTTTGGGTAATAATAAAGAAAATAAATTCTTGCAAACGATAATATGCAATACGAGAGGTGAAGAAAAATTCTCCATCAGATCAAATAACGAATCATATTTGGACATTTAGTATAATTTCGGCAATTTTGGCAATTGTGTCGGCTCGAATACTTTTTAACACCAACTCACCTATATGCATTTCATCACGAAAACAGAGATAGATATGAACAGCTGAAATAGCAAGCTAGATATGAAGAGACAAAGATAGATAGATAGATAGATAGATAGATAGATAGATATGAACAGAAAAGACTTACTTTTTGATAATTTCAATTATCTCTTCTTGAAGTTAACTATCCGTTTTCTTTATACTGCATTATTTGAAACTAGCAGCATTACCCGGTGTTGCCTGGGTTTATCCAAAAAAGATCACAAACCTCATCCATTTTGTAAAGTTAAAATAAAGAAGATGTTTCTTTAGTGCCTCTTATCTATATGGCGAAAGATTATAATGACATGAAGTGTGAAAACATTTATAACAGGAGAAAGTTGTTTTTTACAGAAGCACAGAAGATACAAAAAATATTTGTCAGCAAATGAAGAGTACATTAATCGCAATCGATCTTCGAAAATTGTTGAGGAGAAATGCTTTGTTTAACTTAATAATCAGCTTTTCTTCTTGGCTTTATCTGCTTCTTGTGTGCCTTTCTGGACTTGATCAAATTTGGCTCTCCGCAACTTCTTACCATTTGCAGCTCTAAGTAATCTTTTCTCCATTACCGTTCTTCCCAGTAACTGTCATGTCAGAAATTTACACAAACTCATTAGACAGTTCACTCAATGTTTTCCTATGTCTCTGATTTGTTCCAGAAATTTCAACTAATTTTTTTATGATTCTAATTAGAATTGTTCTTTTTGTTTCCTTTTTTCTTAAATTATCCACATTGCTCATATTTCTGATTCATGGCATTCCTAATATCCTTCTGTAGAACCACACGTATTCTCTTCATCTGTGAAGAAATTCTCTAGCATTCACTGTCTGAGTGAATTGATATTACATAGCTTTTCGGTCCTTTGATTTTTGTATTTAATAGCGAGTCTTATATTTCATTTAGATTTCCTGTTTAAATTGCCATCAGCACATCGTCATATGTTGTTAAGGCGTCATATGCTGATATATTCCGGTTGATATTTTAATTCTTAAAGAGATCGTCAATCGAGATTTTCGCTCAAGAAAAAAAAAGTTTATATTCTACGTACTGTAATAAGGATCTCACTTTTTCCGTTCTTTTCAAAGACTGATCGATAAGACTTGTTTGATAAATCTCAAATTAGTGAGAATCTATCTATCTTGAAATTTTCAGTTCATTTTCTGAACTATTCGATGCCTACACCTTGCCACTTTTAACTCTTTCAAAAATCTTCTAATTCCTCTATAATTTAGAATCTTTTTTAAGACACCTGCTATTTGTTTACTATTAATCATTTACGAAATTTGATTTTGTATTTTCTTTTTAACAATTCTTAAACCTCATTCTACATTCATATAGCTTAATATCATTTTCTTTTTTTCTTCTCCAAACAATCGATTCCGCCATATTTAAGTTTACTTTTTACATAGAGCAGCCGTATTGGCAGACATGTTTTTGAGTAAAGACGATGTTCCAAGGAAAATAGGCAACTGTTAGTATTATGAACTGTAAATAATAACAAAGTCAAAAAGAATTTAGTTTTGGATTGATTGATTTGTTTTCTAAAGCTTATCAACAGTTTACAGGTTATTTAAAGTCAGATCATATCTTTTAGATTCTAACAATTTACTTGGATAATAATAGTTTAATGTTACAAGTCTGACTACCTAACCTCTAGCTGGTGAAAGAAGACGTGTGTTCATACCTTTCCCAATGACATTAGAGCGTACGTGAATA